CATAGGCTGCTGCTGCTGCTGCTGCTGCTGCTGGTGTGTTGCTTGTGCGTTTATGATTATATCCTGGGGGTGGGGGAGAAAGAGGGGGTTTACACTGAAGTGACAGAATTCGGGTTTCGTGCTCTGCAGAATATGTACTGGTGAGAGGTGAGAACGGCGAGGAGAGAGAGACGATAAAAAGCTACTTTGGCCCCTTCTCTGCATGCATGAATGCAGCGGTAACGATAGAGTAGAAAGGGAAACTGAAATATTTTATGGAAGAAACAGCTGATATAAATGTTTAAATTTAAATGGAGTGGGAAAGAGCAGAGGATCACTCACACCCGAGAGTGACGATGCACGGGGAGGCGACTCGCGAAACNTGGAGTGGGAAAGAGCAGAGGATCACTCACACCCGAGAGTGACGATGCACGGGGAGGCGACTCGCGAAACTAGCCACTGTTGGGGGTGTATTTGCCGTGTCTGAGGGTGGGGGTGAGTTATTAAAACAAATCAACTTCATTAGTATTAGCAATATCTACAAATATCACATGAAAATGCAGCTTTCCTTTCATCTGCTGCCGCCGGCAGCGCAGAAGGGAGCGCGTATGGTGAACCTTCCCCCCTCGGGATGCCACATTTTGTTTAAATTTTATAAAGAAAACACGATAATTTCGAACTTTTGCTGAAGAAAAAGTTGTAATTTCAGAAAAATTTTACAGGTTTCCATCGAAGTCAAAAGATGAACACGTACATACACTCTACTCGGCAAGTGGTGCAATGCAGCCCTTGGCTTCCACGCAGTTGAACCGAGGGGTCTGGTCAGCGGTTTTCAGTCGTTCTTCATGAATTAACTTCTTTTGAATCTTTTTTTCTTCACTTTTGAGCGAAAACGAGAGCTCCAGAATTCGCGGTGTCTGTACACCTCAAACGGTCGCTCCGTCACTCGCCCAACGGAAGCCGCTGCTGTGCCGCAACCGAGCATAAAGTAAAGCTTTTTAACCAGGAAAGCGAATGTTTTGAGCTTTTTTTACTTTCTAAGACACATATGAAGGGAATTATAGCCACTTAGAGGGAGGAAGGACGCTGTTTGTCGGGGTTCCCGTCCACAGTCTGCGAGCTCTGGCTTCTTCGTGTCCTTCGCGAGCCTTGGGAATTAGAGCAAACGATGGTTTTTTATTTGCTCTGCAAAACCTTTCCTACTATGTTTGTTCTAATTCAAGTTCTTTAGCCACGGCGGGAGGCCGTAGTTCAGCTGTCGCGTGTTCAAAGGCGGCGTTCTCAGTTTCGGCTTTCTGCCGGTTTCCCCGCTTCCTTCTGTTCCGACCCCGGTTTATTTTCTCCTTGAATTCCTTTTTATGCATTTCGAAAT